AGCTGGGCATGGTGGCTCGTGCCTGTAATCCCAGCTACTCAGGAGGCTGAGGCAGGAGAATTGCCTGAACCCAGGAGGCGGAGGTTGCGGTGAGCCGAGGTCGCGCCATTGCACTCCAGCCTGGGTAACAAGAGTGAAACTCCGTCTCAAAAAAAAAAAAAAAAAAAGTCAAATACATAAGAGGCAGAGGTTAGTTAGTAGGATGGCTACCAGGTGCTCAGGATTGGTCAAAAAGTACAAAATTTCAGTTAGGAGGAAAACATTCAAGATCTGCTGCACAGCGTGGTGATGGAAGTAAATAATAATGTATTGTATACTTGAAAATGCTAAGAGAGGGGCCAGGCGTGGTGGCTCACACCTGTAATCCCAGCACTTTGGAAGGCTGAGGCAGGCAGATCACTTGAGGTCATGAGTTTGAGACCAGCCTGGCCAACATGGTGAAATGCTGTCTCCATTAAAAATACAAACACTAGTTGATCATGGTGGTGGTGCCTGTAATCTCAGCTGCTTGGGAGGCTGAGGCAGGAGTAGCGCCTTGAACCCAGGACGCTGAGGCTGCAGTGAGCCAAGATAGCACCACTACACTCCAGCCTGGGTGACCAAGTGAGACTCTGTCTCAAAAAATAAAAATTAAAAATTAAATTTAAAAATTGCAAGAGAGTAGTAGGTTTTAAGTGTTCTCATCACAGATAAATAATAAATATGTGAGGTAATACACATGTTAATTAGCTTGATTTTTTTTTTAATTTTTATTTTTTTTTAATTTTTTTTTTAAGAAATGGAATCTTGCTGTGTTTCCCAGGCTGGTCTCAAACTCCTGGCTGAAGCAATCCCCACATCTTGGCCTCTCAAAGTGCTGAGATTACAGGCGTGAGCCACTGCGCTTGGCCTAATTAGCTTGATTTAGCCATTCCACAATGTAGTCGTAATTTAAAACATCATGTTGTACACCGTATATATACACAATAATAAAAAGAGTTTGCAAAAATATTTTCTCTACATCATGCTATAGCAGAGTACTAGATTTTTTCAGTTGCAATCATGGGTGAATTTATAATAGCCTTTTTTTTTTTTTTTTTGAGACAGAGTGTTACTCTGTCACCCAGGCCAGAGTGCAGTGGCACCATCTTGGCTCACTGCAACTTCTGCCTTCCAGTTTCAAGCAATTCTCCTACCACAGCCTCCCAGGTGGCCGGGATTACAGGTCTGCACCACCATTCCCAGCTAATTTTGGTATTTTTAGTAGAGACGGGGTTTCAGCATGTTGGCCAAGCTGGTCTTGAACTCCTGACCTCAAGTGATCCGCCCACCTCAGCCTCCCAAAGTGCTGGGATTACAGGCATGAGCCACTGCACCCAGCCTTATAATAATCTTTTGCCATTAAGGCTAACATGCTACTTATTTGAAACTTTATTTTCTTAACAATAGAATGAGCATTGAAAAAATAGAAAACTAACTGAAATATCCCATATTCCCTTCTTCTAAGTACTAATTTCTGGATACATGTATTTACAACTTCTTTAGTATAAAACATGGTGAAACTAGCTCTCATGAGGTCTGCCTTGTATCAGAATGTCATATATAGTCTCACCAGCCAGCTAATTAATATTACCTCCATTTCACAGATGATATAGCAGTGGGGGTCAGAGAAACTGAGTTACTTGCACAAAATCATGCCTCTTGTAGGTGGAGAACCAGGATTCTAACCTGGGGCTGTCTGGAGCGAAAGTCCTGTGATTTCTCCAAATTAGGTCAAATTAGCTTTGACAATATGGTTATTGCTGCTGGGCTGTTGAGTAAGAAAGAGCTGTCGTCTTAAATACTAAATATGCTCACACCATTGATAGTGTGTATCTTTTGGGTGTCCATTTTTCTGTCTTTGACAATTTCACTGAAAAAGACTTTCCTATTATTTTCCTTAGCCTCCTTCCGTAGCAGTTTTTATTGGGGGAACGAACGTTCCAGATATGGTTTGGCTGTGGCCCCACCCAAATCCCATCTTGAATTATAGTTCCAATTCCCATGTGCTGTGGGAGGAACCTGGTGGGAAGTCATTGAATCATGGGGTGGACCTTTCCTGTGCTATTGTCCTGATAGTGATTACATCTCACGTGATCTGATGGTTTTATAAAGGGTTGTTTCCCTGCCCAAGCTCTCTTGCTTGTCTGCCACCATGTGAGACATGCCTTTCACCTTCCGCCATGATTGGGAAGCCTCTCTAGCCATGTGGAACTGTAAGTCTATTAAACCTCTTTCTTTTGTAAATTGCCCAGACATATCCAATTGCCATACCAATTGGGTACGTCTTTATCAGCAGCTTGAAAATGTTCTAATAGTCCTTTTGTGGCATTAGAGTGTATTAGTTCCCACTGTTGCTGTAATAATTTACTGCAAACCCAGTGGCTTCAGGCAGCACAAATTCCTCACCTGACCTCCGGTTCTGGAGAATAATTGCTCCCAGAGATGTCTGCATCCTAATTTCCCGGACCCCTGAGGCCATGACCAGGGAGCTGAATCTGGAGGTTGGAAAGCTGAAGTGGGTCTCCCAGGCTGAACTTAAGGTCTCCGCAGCTGCGCTCCTTTGTGGATGCTCTTGGGGAGAATCTGGTTTCTTGTCTTTTCCAGCCTTGAGGGGCACCCACATGTCTTGGCTCATGGCCCTCCTCCATCTCCAGAGCCATCGGGCTGGTGGGTTCTTCCTCACTCTGAACTTGACTCTCTGGCCTCCTTCTTTCACTTGTTTCTTTCTTTTTATTTTGAGATGGAGTCTCGCTCTTGCCCCCAGGCTGAAGTGCAGTGGTGCGATCTTGGCTCACTGCAACCTCCGCCTCCCGGGTTGAAGCAATTCTCCTGTCTCAGCCTCCAGAGTAGCTGGGATTGCAGGTGCCTCCCACCATGCCTGGCTAATTTTTGTATTTTTAGGAGAGATGAGGTTTCTCCCTGTTGGCCAGGCTGGTCTTGAACTCCTGACCTCAGGTGATCCGCTCGCCTCGGCCTCCCAAAGTGCTAGGATTACAGGTGTGCGCCACTGTACCTGGCCTCCCTCTTTCACTTGTTAACAACCCCTGTGGTTATGTTGAGCCTGTCTGGATAGTCTGCCAAAATGCCCTTCCCTGTCACAGCCTCATGGGTCTTGGGAATTAGGATGTGGACATCACTGGGAGCAATTATTCTCCCTTCCACAGATTCATGTCCTTCCCATATGAGAAAAATTTTCATTCTGTCCCAACATCACCCAAAGCCTAGATCCACCACCCGTGGTGAACCATCTCTGCTGGATGGGCATTTCTACGTCTCTCAGTGTTTTTGGAAAAGTTCTTACAGGTCTATAGTAAGAAATTCCAACAATATAAAGTGTTACAGAGTGAAAAGTAAGTCTCACTCCCATGCCACATCTTTTTGTTCTGTTCTGTTGTTGTTTGTTTTTTGAGACAGAGTCTCGCTCTATTGCCCAGGCTGGAGTGCAGTGGTGTTATCTTGACTCACTGTAACCTCCGCCTTCTGGGTTCAAGTGATTCTCATGCCTCAACCTTCTGATTCGTGGGATTACAGATCTGTACCACCACACCTGGCTAATTTTTGTATTTTTACAAAAATAGAGACAGAACTGCGCTATGTTGCCCAGGCTGGTCTCAAACCCCTGGCCTCAGATGATCTGCCCGCCTTGGCCTCCCAAAGTGCTAGGATTACAGGTGTGAGCCTCTGTGCCCAGCCTATTGCAGATCTGGAGCCTTCCAGGTCCCTTCTCCAGAGGTTACAACAGTTACTATTCTGTGTACTGTCACAGATGTTCTGTGCATAAAGAAATGTGTGCTTATGGTTTTTGGTTTTGTGCAAGAATCATTTGTTCACCAAGATGCACTTTTTTTGGCCTGTCTTTCTGAGTACACACACACACAGCTCCAAAAATAAGAGTTGGTCTTCACCAGTCCACACAACCTACAGGCTACTTCTCAAACTGTGCTACTTTTAGCCTTGCTGGAGCCGTATATATTATTCTTGGGCTCAATATCTGGAGCCTGAATTTATAGCAGTGGAATTCTAGGGTGCAGGTGACCTAGATAGAAAAAAAGAAGACAGGATCTGCTCATTTACATGACAAAAAAAATTTCAAAGCCCTATAAAAGGAAAAATCAGTTTCTTCTCCTTTAACTATCTTGATAGAAACAGCTTGTTTGAGAAATCCAACTGGGTGAACTCCAGTTAGCTCTGGTCTACCGGGTGATTTATTGGCCATAGTCTTGACATTTTTAGTTGACCTTGGGAGTCCTTTCAGGGAGTCACTTTTGATGAGTACATCATTCAGCCTGAGATGGACAGGCTTAATGCCCTGCCCTGCCCATCTGTGCTCATGAAATGTTCATCAAGGAGGCAGGGCATGGACTCACCTGCTGCCTCCCATCCGCACAGGGGCCCGTCCCTTGGAAAACACATACTCCCTTTGCCAATTCCTTCCCACTTGACGCCCTCAGCACCTTGCGTTATTTTGGCGTTCCTCCTAGCTGTGCCTTTCATAATTCATCACCCCTGCTGCACGGAACAGTTCTAGGATATCCTCAAGGCGGTGCCTCTTTCTCCCCTGTTTTCGTCCCAAGCTAGCATGGTGCCTGCCGGTGGTGATGAACAACAGGACTCATTTGGAGAGCGCTTTTTTTTGTCATGAATTTTAATGATTCCAGGTTAGCCCATTTCCTGGGAATGATCAGCTTGGCTTTGATAGATGATGGCTAACAAAATTTTTTATCTGCTAAAGTTTAGGATGAATCCATTGAAGGATAGCCCTGACAACAGCGGTGGGGCCTCCCCTGATTGCTCATGGTGCTGCGTTTATTGTCGTGATACCCATTTCTGCTCTTCAGGAGAGGCGGATGCAGCTAAACACAGCAGAACACGGCTCCTGTGATCCTGGAACATCGGCGTTTCAGATTCTTGCTTGGGAATGGTTGGTGAAGGCTGTTGCTGGGGCTAAATTCTGCTTTGTGACTGTCATCGCTTTGCAGGCCACCGAATCCCTTTTGGAATCATCTTTGGTGGAACTGATGTAAATGAAGATGCCAACCAGAAAGAAAAAAACACAGTGATGAGAAGAGTTCTCGAGGAAGCCAGGTAATACTGTGAGAATCTCACCCGTGTGAAACACTTAAACTATGTGGATGGAATTAATTGAAACCAAAAGACCAAGGGAATCCACTGTCGGGAAGGTTTACATTTTACCACTTAAAATCCATTTCATGTAACCTTTTCTTTCATTTGCGACATTTTTATTTTGCAACCACTAGTCATTGCTAACAGGTTATTGCACTTAAGTCTTTAACTACAGTTGATATTAGAGAAGCCTCTTTAGAAGGCTCTGCTTGGAGCCGGGCACAGTGAGACACGCCTGTGTTCCTAGGTACTTGGGAGGCTGAAGCGAGAGGATCACTTGAGCCCAGGAGTCCAAGACTGTAGGGTGCTATGGCTGCACTCCAGCCTGGGTGATAGTGCAAGCCCTCTTCTCAGAAAAGGGGTGATCTGAATGTGGAAAACACGAAACACAGGCAAACTCCAGCCTTATCGGCACACAAGTTAGGATCTAGTTTGCGTCAGGTTTGCCCAAGTCGACTGTGTTTGGCATGGCTCTTATCTATGTAGCTTTCTGAGAGAGAGAGAGAGAGAGAGAGAGAGAGAGAGAGAGAGAGAGAGAGATATGCTATTTGCAAGAAGGGTCACCACCTGGATTTCTAAATGGTGGCTCAGTCCTTTTCCTTGGGTATGTCCCTCCAGCTGTCCCGGGAACCTCAGAGGAAGCTGTTGTGAGGACAGCGCTCTGTGCTCTGAGTAGTGCTTCTCAAAGGCGTCACTGTGATAATCCTGGGGGCTACCCTGCACATCTGATCCCAGACACCATCCGCTGGCAGCACCCTCCAGGCACCACAGCTACCTAGTAGGTCTCCCTATAATTCTAGTGCCCCCAGGGTGGGGGAAGTTACTCTCCCCAGTTGAGAATTCCTTCCAGCGCTGTACTTCCCAACTTTATCCGCATGGAGGTGGTGAAAGGAGATTCATGGGAGGCTGTTGTCCTGGACTGGCCCCTGCACTGGGCCCCAGCTGACCAGCCCGAGACAGAAAGGACTCACGCTTGCTGAGCGCTGTGTAATCCAACTGAACTTTGAAATGGTTTTTGGAATCATCTTTAGTGGAACTGATGTAAATGGAGTTTACATGAGTTTTCTTTTCTCTTTTCTTTTCCCTTCCCTCTACTCTCCTCCCCTCCCCTCCCTCCCCTTTCCTCTCCTTCCTCTCTCCTCCCCTTCCCTTCCCTCCCCTTCTTTTTTCTTGACAGTCTCACTCTGCTGCCAAGGCTAAAGTGCAATGGTAAGATCACGGCTCACTGCCCCCTCTGTCCCCCCAGGTTCAAGCGATTCTCATGCCTCAGGCTCCTGAGTTGCTGGAATTGCAGGCACCTGCCACGACACATAGCTAATTTTTGTATTTTTAGCAGAGATGGGGTTTTGCCATTTGGCCAGACTGGTCTTAAACCCCTGGCCTCAAGTGATCCACCTGCCTCGGCCTCCCAAAGTGCTGGGATTACAGGCATGAGCTATCGTGTCCGGCCTGAAATGGGCCAGTTTTCTAAAAAGTGAGAGATTCCAGCCAACTTCAATCATCAGAATAGGGAAGTCTCCTTTGCTTTAACCGTATCGGGAAAGTAACTCCGAAATGCCCGTCTGCTTTTTGTTTTCTGTGTCTGTCTATAAAACGCACCACCTCCGCTCAGCTCATCAGAACACTTATTCTGTTTCATGCAGTGAGGTGCTGCCTGATTCTAGAATTGCTAATAAAAGCCCATTATGATCTTTGAACTAAATTTGTTGTCATTGTGCCTTTTCACAAGGCATACTTAGAAAATTATCACATTTGTACAGTAATTTAAAGTGTGTTGAAAGGCTTGATTACAAAAATCACTCCCATTTCTTTGTCTAACAAATGCAATAATAAGAACTAAAATAAAGATAAAAGTAGGCCAGGCAAGGTGGTGGCTCAGGCCGGTAATCCCAGCACTTTGGAAGGCCCGAGGAGGGTGTGTCATTTGAGGTTAGGAGTTCGAGACCAGCCTGGCCAATATGGTGAAACCCTGTCTCTATTAAAAATATAAAAATTAGCTAGGAGTGGTGGTGGGTGCTTGTAACTGGGGGTATTCAAGAGGCTGAGGCAGGAGAATCATTTAATCCTGGAGGTGGCCAGGCATGGTGGCTCATGTCTGTAATCCCAGCATTTTGGGAGACTGAGGCAGTCAGATCACCTGAGGTCAGGAGTTTGAGACCAGCCTGGTCAACATGGTGAAACCCCATCTCTACTAAAAATACAAAAATTAGCCAGGCGTGATGGCATGTGCCTGTAGTTCCAGCTACTGGGGATGCTGAGGCAGGAGAATTGCTTGAACCTGGGAGGCGGAGGTTACAGTGAGCTGAGATCGTACCACTGCACTCCAGTCTGGGTGACAGAGCGAGACTCCATCCCAAAACAAAAAACAACAACAGAAAAAGAACCCAGGAGGTGGTGGTTGCAGTGAGCCAAGCTCTTGTCATTGCATTCCAGCCTGGGTGACAGAGTGAGACTCAGTCTCAAAAAAAAAAAAAAAAAAAAAATTAATTAAAAAAATAAAAAATGAAAATAGTAATAAAAGCAATATGAATCTTCCATGATCATATAAAAAATATGAAAAAAGAGAATCAAATCAAAAGAACTAACTATACATGCATACAAAGAACTTTTCTGGTAAGTTCTGAGGTGGTCTGTGGGCCTCCTCCGGGTTCCGCCGACAGGTGGAGGGTCCCGTGCCGTCTGTCCCTCCCACATGCTCAGGGGCTGCTGCTGTTAGAAGAACTCCTCACCTGTGTCTAGAATAACCCTGAATTCAACGTTGACAGATGGCCCAACCAGTACTGTCTAACGATCCCTTCAACTCTTTTAAATCTTTGAATCTTTGTAAAAAATAAAACAAAGCAAAACCGGTAACTGATTTTAAGCCAATCAATCACCAGCCATCAATTTTCTGTGGCTCACCTCGTGGCTGGGAAGCTCTGGCCAGGGAACTGGGGATACTCCAAGACTTTATGTAACTGGATCACCCTATTCCATACCAAGGACAGTACCCAAAGTTCTGCCTGCAGCCTCCAGTTCCTCTTTCAGTAATGTAGGTGTCCGCCTCGCTTCTGAAAACCAGGGTTACTGGGAGGTATCACTGCATTTAGGACCCTAGTCCTTCCTGTGGACCCCTGAACATACCGTTGTGACAATGCAAGTGTGGACGCAGAAAACCTGAGACCGGCCTCAGTTACCGTTTAGAAAGTTGATTTTGCCAAGGTCGAAGACGGGTACCTGTGAGACAGCCTCAGGAAGCCCTGACGACAGGAACCCAGGGTGGTCAGGGTGCAGCTGGGTTTTATGCATTTTAGAGAGACATGAGACACTAATCAGTCTATGTAAGAAACGCATCGGTTTGGTCTGGAAAGCAAAGGTGGAAAGACTCAAAGCAGGGAGGGGACTTCCAGAGCGCAAGCAGGTGACAGATGAAAGCTTGCATTCTTTTGAATTTCTGATAAACCTTTCCAAAGGAGGCAATCAGACAGACATTAATCTCAGTGAGCAGACGGATAACTTTGAATAGAATGGGAGGCAGGTTTGCCCTCAGCAATTCCCAGCTTGAATTTTCCCTTTAGCTTAGTGATTTTGGGGGCCCAAGATATTTTCCTTTCACACAACCTTACCATAGTAGGGAGCACACGTGTGTGCATGCGTCTGTGTGTTGTAAACAGAAAAAGGCATTAAAACACTTTGGGGTTACCTTGGAAGGGGATCTTTCATTACAGGTTGTGGTTCTTACATGCTGCAAATTCGTTCCCTTTAGACTCTTGTAGTTGGAAATGCACTGTCTTATGGAAAGAAAATGATTGTGTTTACTAGAAACAACATTGAACGAATCCATCTGATAGTATTATCATTAGTATTATTCATTGCATTGTTATTAAAGCAAACATTGATTTCTGTTTTGGGGGGTTACTGATCGAGGTTAGTGGGCAGGAAAGCTGCATGAATCAGAGATTCCTTGTCCAATATAATATCGCACTCTTTTCTGTAAAAGAAAGTGTTGAGCTTGTCTAGCTTTATAATGATTATTTCATTTTTCATCAAATGCTTTTGAATAGTTGTATTTTTCCTATAGGGTGTATTTTTGAAGTTTGTTTTAGTATTGAAAAATTTTTTGCTGTATCATATAGTAGTATTTGAACTTACTTTAGTTTTAGCTTTTTGGCTTATAAATATTATAATGTAATAAGCACTTGATAATTTTATTATCCATGTCTAAATGAAGAGTATTTGAAACCTATGGAAACTGTTTGGTGAGGGATCATCCAGGTCCATGTTAGAAAAAAGTATTGTTGGCCAGGTGCAGTGGTTCATGCCTGTGATCACAGCATCTTGGGAGGCCAAGATGGGGCAGATCACTGTGGTCAGGAGTTCAGGACCTGCCTGACCAACATGGGGAAACTCCATCTTCACTGAAAATACAAAAATTAGCTGGGCATAGTAGTGTTCACCTATAATCCCAGCTACTCAGGAGGCTGAGGCAGGAGAATGGCTTGAACCCAGGAGGTGGAGGTTGCAGTGAGCTGAGATCCACTCCAGCCTGGGCAGCAAAGCAAGACTCTTGTCTCCAAGAAAATAATAAAGTTAAAATAAAAAAAAAACACACATTTCTTATGAAAAATACAAAGCTACCATTTTGGCACTTTTAGCTGAACACTGCCATTTTGAAATAGATTTACTCACTTCACTTGTGTTTTTTTTTTTGTCAAAAATATCTTTGGGCTTAAATATCTACATTTTAAAACTTATGAAACGCCCAATATTCGGCCATTTCATCCTACGAAACAGCAAATTCAAACAGCAAATTCACCCCGTTTAACCTATTGTGTGCTATATATTTCCTGTTTATGAGGCTATTTTTGAAGTGTTTCATTTAATACAAACTCTCTTTTCTTCATTTGATTAACAATATTTTTATTCTTTTTTTTTTTTTTTTGCCCAGGCTGGAGTGCAGTGGCGTGATCTCAGCTCACTGC